CCTACATTACAGGGTTATTTTATTTATTCTTAAAGTGTAAATAATCAAAATCCCTTTGTCTTATGTTAAAGGACAGACCTGAGCACCACAGTGATGCAGACAGGCATCTGTGTGTATACGTCTGTCACGTGTCCTAGTTTTCTTATATTATTAATTTTATTCTACCCCCCCCACACACACACACACACAATCTTTCTCATATTTATTTTTCATTATTCTGTCATGGCAGAGGGCGTTTGTATGTTGTTGATTTTAAATGTATATTTTTTCTTCAGCGAGCTAACACGCAACATGTTTGGCATTTGTTTTTACGCTGGTTGTCCTTCCTGACGCAACCACCGAGCTACCACAGAGCAGAGAGCTGCAATCAGGGGCTTGGGGGTGGGGCGGGGGGAGATTAAGGGTGATGTTCAAGAGCCCAGAGTGAGGCCCAGAGTGAGGCCCAGAGTGAGGCAGTGTTTCACCTTTCCCACACAAATTCTGATGTAACAGCGAACTGGCGACCTCCCGATCACCACTCCTCCCAGTTAAAAAAGAAACCAACACCATGCACGCTCAGTGTGTGTAATGTGAATGACTCAGCTACTACCACGTCAAGTATTAGCTCAGTATCTGTCAAAGTGACCTTTGTCTGCCTTCGTCTTTCTGTGGTGACAATAATGCTCCAGAATTCAAGGCCACATTGGGAGATAGGCTACGAAACCAAGGAGGGGAACAGACATTTCAACCTTGGAATGGTTGCACCCCCCTCACCACCAGTCACTGGCACACAGGGGAGGGCTAAATTTAACCGTTCCACTACAAGAACCAGTTCAGCAGCACAGTTAGGGATGACAGAGTGAGCCTCAAAGCGTGGTGATAAATTCACAGCAGGACCCTCCCCAGACTCACTCACTCTCCTTCTGTCGGTCATTATGCTGCAAATAGGGTACGGAGCCAAAAGTAGGGCTCGTCTGTTTTCTGTGCGGGGCCTAGGCCTCAACACTGCGCACACCTACAAATAATGAATGTTCAAGACTCCAGATTGGGCCCAAAGTATTCGTTATGTAGGACAAGTGTCTGAGTCAGCTGAGGAGACGATCATTTTTAGAGTAGTTGTTCCTCCGCTCAGGAGTTTGTTCCCATCAACACATCTGTTGCTGCTCAGAAGGACAAGACGACAAAAACAGCAGCTGAAGAAAAGGACAAAACCTTTTCTAACATGTCCCACATAAACAAATCAACAAAATATGAAACAACTTCTAGTACATTTATGTATTTTTGTACTTTAGCTTGCACTGTATTGTGTTATACACAATACACTAAACTAGATACTGTAATACTATTTTTTTAAAATAATTTAACATGTGAAAAAATAACATTTTTATGGATGTATGTATAATTATCACCATGTTTATGTGTGTGTTCTTTTGTCTGTTAACAAAAAATCTGCACTGGACAGATTTTCACAAAACTCAGAAAATAATCAATAGATGTACAAGTACATCTACAACTGAGTATTTTTTTTCTTCTTTTGGCTGCTCACTTCTTCAGGGGTCACCACAACGAATTAACTCACACGAAGACTTGGTGATTGTTTTGATGCCGGACATCATTCCTGACACAACCACAGACCACCGAGCTACCACAGCCCTCTGTGTGGAGCTGCTATCTGGGGTAGGCAGGGGAGCAGGTGGTGGGGGTTAAGGGCCTTGCTCAAGGACCCAGAGTGGGGCGAATGAGGGTAGGCCTGTCACAATAACAAATTTTGCTGGGTGATTGTCTCAGAAATTATTGTGATAAACGATAATATTGTTTGAAATTTGACAATAATTAGTAATTATTTGACAATTTGACAATAATTAGTAATTATTGTCAAATTTAGGAAGAAATGTTAGTTAATTTTTGTGTGTAGTACCTTTTTTGACCACCGGATGGCAGTATAAGACTGTTTGAACTGAAGGATGGATAGTGAGGGAGCGAGCAGCGTGTCTCATTAAGAAAATGGGAGGGAGGCCCCTTGATGTGACATGGGCTGTCTCTCCTTCCTGTTCTTTGTGCAGAGAAAAACAACTTTTAGACGAAAGCACGGGTTTCAACCGTGAATTTTGGAGCTTCGACAAGACGGAGGTTTTTTCCCGAGGTCGTCCTGTTAGCTCGTAGCTTAGCTTCTCAGCTTAGCTGCTTATAATGATCCAAAAACTCAATTTTGGATGGTTAAAACGGGTTTTAAAGATAAAAGAGAAAGGGAGGGAACACATGTTGCAAACTATATACCCATTTAATATAAATGGAAAATAACCAGGCTAGTCCACAGGGGCAGGTGTGGTGCTGCCCCACCTAAAAAATTGATTTGCCCCACAAAGTAATTCCTCTTAATAAATACTGTAAAATACTTATTGACTTAGCTTGCCATGTATTATTTTATTCTGTGTTTTTCAACTATTTTGACCATTTTAAATCAAGTGTAATTTTTAAAACTCATTTACAGTTATGGGGCGGTAAAGGTCACCGACTGCGTTTGTCAAGAGGATCATCATATCTCCTCTTTTGGGTCGTGATCAGAACAGGTAGCTCCAATAAAGTCTCATTGGAGCATAAAATATTCTGTCCAATGGACACATACTGCATTAAAACGAATATACTAACACTAGACCTCACATGAGCTCATAGCTGCTTTACAACCTGCTGTGTCCCACATGGATTCTGTTTAAATCCAGTATGGAGCAGACAGAGGGGACCCGAACAGAACACAGATGACTGAGGACAAAGGAGGAATAAAAAAGGAATAAGGGACTTCTTCATCAATATGTTAGGATCTTACTGAACCAAATCTGTGATGTCTGGGTGTGTGTGGCTGTCATAGGTCAGTGGTCAAAGATGCGGTCTTGTGTTGCCTGGAGCTTCAAAGTATAGAAGTAAAGACGCATGTTGCCATCTTTTAATTTTTATATCTTTATAGAGTTACTTCACAGAACTTCTTTCCCCCATTTAACTTTGTTAATCTGGACTATTATTGCAGAATTAATATTTGAAATCAAATTAGAAATCCAATCCAGAAAGCTGTGGACCTATCTGCTTTATTTGGGGAGTGGTGGCGCAGAGGTTAGAGTAGGTGGGTCTGTGATCAGAAGATCACCGGTTCAAGCCCCGGTACCGACAACATCAAAAATGTGGGTGGGGTAGGTGAAGCACCCACACGTGCCCCCACCGTCATTCGCCCCACTCTGGGCCCATGAGCAAGGCCCTTAACCACCATCTGCTCCCTAAACAGGTCTCTCTTGAAAATGAGTTCTCGTAGCTCAATGAGACTAACCTGGATAAATAAATGGTAAATGAATAAATAAAATGGAAAAAAAATTTAAGCACATAAAATTTAAAATATTCTTATTTCAGGTGGAGGTGGATGTAGATGTGGCAGGAGTTTGTTTCTCTGATTTAATTATTAGACCTGAGTGTTTTCACAAAACACAACTTCAACCTGCGAGCGACAATATTAAACAACATATAGATTATCTGTTTTTACAGAAAATGTACCACACATTGTAACATTGTGTGATTATTGACTCAGGAAATGAATGTCCGTCCCACTAATATTTATACTCAGGAGCCATGACTGGGAACCACTAAGCTGCTCATTCTTAGTCACGTCCAGAGTTGCCAAAAATGATCTATTTCATTTTCTTTATGCAGCTCACTGGTTCTTAAATTGAGGGTACTGCTACTATTTTTATTTTACTTCTATCAGACCCTATAACATGGAAGCAGAACTAATGTTTAGATGTCAGGCTGCGAAGGGAGGGGATCCACTCCTTACTGGTCCCATGACCCAGATAGAAGTGAAGACGAGAGGAGAGGGAAGGGTTTGTCTCTCTTTCGTCTGGACAATATGGGACTTGAAAACAGGGACAACTGGTCCAAGAGATCAAGGTACAGTGGGGAACATGCTGGTGGATCTGATCGAGGCGTTCAGCCTTTGGTTCTGCTGATGGTTTTCTGAAGCAGTCTTGGGATTTTACAGCAACACATTAATTAGGTTATTCAAAGGACCACAAATCTGATGGCACAGAATCCTGCTGTCTCTATGTTCCAGATAAACTGCAGCACAATCCTTTACACCTGTTATATGACTGTGACCACCTGTTCTTTGTCCATCTGCACACCTGTTCCATCTGTAAACCTGTTCCATCTGTACACCTGTTCCATATATACACCTGTTCCATCT